TGAACAAATGTCTGCTGGAGCAGATTTTTCTAGAAAAATTCGAATAACTCGAGAACGACCGAATCAAATTGCAAAAAGTAAAGTTATTTATAAACCTTGAAAACAGACAAATCCAAATATGTAAAAATATACAGTGTGTTCCATTTAAAAAAATAAAGTAGGTAGCGACTTCCGGTATAACCGAAAGTGCTAGAAATCTGAAAATATTTTAGATGAAGAGAACGTAATTGATAATACTTAAGTCTGCATTCTCAAATTTTTTGTTTCTCTGAGACACCCTGTATAATTAAATTTTTTTATATATAACTTAATTTTTGTATATATATATTTATTGATTGAAATAACCTTGAATATGTTGATTTAAAAAGTGTATTTTTCCTTGAAGTATTCCTCGTGTTGCTAAAATTATTTGCAAGGAAATTGTAGAAAAGTGGAGGGGAAAGGTTTTACATCACATCAGCCATCAGCTGAGTGTACCAACCACAGCTGATCGAGTCAACACACGCACACAGCGACCACCTCCTTCACTCAGATGAACTCAGTGCCGTTCGTTGCCAGACACCAAGTGCATTTTGCTCCGCGAACATTTTGACCTTTCCGAGTTTCGTGAGTTATCCCCTTTAAATTAATTAATTAGTGAACGACGTCGATTAAAGTGAACATTTTCGAATCGATTCGAAACGTTTTCTTGGGATGACACCCCGAGAAAAAGTACGCTGAAAGGGATTTCTTTATTAACTCGTAGGAAAAGCGGTGAGTATCGACGTATCTCGTGAATATCCTTTGTTTGGGACGCTTTACAGGTGATCGACGTCCTTTTCGCCTAAGATCGGATAAACTCGGTTTGTTATGTAAACAAAAGATTGAAAACAAAAAAAAATAAATACAATAAATTTATCTCATTGAATTAATATTACCTTAATTAATTATTAATCGGTTGAAGATAAGTTTAAAATCAAACAAAGAACTTTCTATTTCCTCATTCGTTTTAAGGAACCTTTTGTTCTTCAAATTATAACAAAACCTCGATTATTGCGTCGCAATTTTTAACAATTTTGCAATAACTTTATTTCTTTTATATAGTCTAGACTGGGATGGGTTGGGGATATTTTTCATTCCATTTCAGTGGCATTACCCTTACGAGTCATCCATGACCGTACCACAATCAATCCTTCACCCACACAAAATTCAACGACCCATTCTAAAAAGAAACACGCTCGAAACGAATATGATTTTGTTCTGGTTTGAATTACGAGAGAATCGTGAATATGAGGACACCGAAGGCCGTCCTCACGAGAGTTATTGGCACATGGGAAACTTGCCAGAAAATGTTACGAAAACGGCCGGAACGCGGTTAGAGATGATTACAAGAGCAAAGGAAATTTTTTTTTTGAAACCAAGTTTTCGTACCGTTTTAATGTCAACCTAAACCTCGTAGACAATTTAACTAAAACATCATCTCATCTATCTATTATTAAATAAGAACAATCATATGCTTTTTAATCTTATCATTTCATTATTTATTTTGTTTTAAGATAAGTTTTTAAGCTTATTTTTATTTATTTATTTTACTTTCATTCTTTCTTTCTGGCTTTTAAAATATTTTTATCTGGCACCAACACTGTCATCAACCTGCAAACATCTATCAATGATCCAAATTCATCACAAAGAGAGATCTTTTTTCGAAGGAAACCAAATCGTTGAAATTTAAAATCTTGCATTTGCAGAGTTATCCATTAAGAAAGATTAACATAGTGGATCTGTAATAGGTGTTGTAGGAAGAAAACTAGATACTGTTGACAGAAGACTAAATACTGTTAGTACAAGTCTTAATACTGCTGCTATAAGACTAGATATTTCTCATGGAGATACTGTACTAGACTTTACTTACCGCCCGATAAAAAAATTGCACTAAAGTTTGTTGTAATTATTGGGTGAGGCTGGTTCCGCCCAATCGAAAAAGATGATGCGTTCTAGACAGTACGTCGCGTCTTTATCTTACCTACATAAGTAATAACGGCGCGACGTCCTGTCTCTGGAACACACATCAGGACCATCTTTTTCGATTGGACGGAATTTTTAATTTATAATTCGTTTAAATCATAACTTTGAAAAACTGATAACGGTATCTGACAAACGCAATTATTTGTGGGTATTTTGGTTAGATGAGACTAAATACTGCTAGTACAAGTCTTAATACTGCTGCTATAAGACTAGATATTCCTCATGGAGTTACTGTTGGCAAAACTCTACTTACTGCTAATAGAAAACTAGCTACTGCTGGCAGAAAATTAAATACTGTTGGCAGAGAACTAAATACTGCTGACAGAAGACTAAATACTGCAGATAGAAGACTAGATACTGGTAACGATAGGCAAGAATCGTAGTAGTAGAACAGTAATATGACCAGAGAGACATTTAATGAGTTCAAAATTGGTACATTACTATTACATGCCATATATGCAGAGTTAGAATCAAATCATGAGTATAAAATTGAGGGAAGAATATGAGATAAATAAAGAGGACAAGATTGATCAAGAAATAATAAAGCAAAAGTATTAAAAACAAGAAAAATGCAACAAGTTATATATATTTGTAATAAATTTAGAAACCAAGTTTTCGTACCGTTTTAAAGTCAACTTAAACTTCTCAATATTTACAATTTAACTAAAACAAAAAAAATATTATGAAATTTCTAATTCGTTGGATTTTAATACCATCATCTATCTATTATTAAATAAGAACAATCATTCTTTTAAATCTTATCATTTAGATATTTATCATTTTATTATTTATTTTGTTTTAAGATAAGTTTTTAAGCTTATTTTTATTTATTTATTTTACTTTCATTCTTTCTTTCTGACTTTTTAAATATTTTTATCTGGCATCAACCTGCAAAAATCTATCAATGATCCAAATTCATCACAAATAGAGATCTTTTTTCGAAGGAAACCAAATCGTTGAAATTTAAAATCTTGCATTTGCAGAGTTATCCATTAAAAAAGACTAACATAATGGATCTGTAATAGGTGTTGTTTACTTTAGAGATCGATATCTTCGTAACCGTTCGATGGAAAAAATTGCTGTAAAGTTTATTGTAATCAGTGAACATTTCTGCGTATCACATGTTAATTTGGAAATTTTCGGGTCCGCGGTTTTACTTTTATCGCGAGTTAAGTGAAAAAAGTACCCGATTTTTGAGAGTGCCAGCAACTTTGTCTACTTTGCGATTTTTTCTCTCCAAAACTATTTGACGAAAAATTTTAAAAATTTAAACAGTACGTCGCGCCTTTATCTTGCCTACATAAAGAAATAAGGCGCGACGTCCTGTCTGGGACACACCATCTGTTCCGATTGGCCGGAACCCTCGTCACCCCGTAGAGCTTATTTCTGTTTCTTTTTAATTTGTAATTCCATTAAATCGTTCTTAAAAAAATAGGGATCCTTAATTTTGAAAAACTGATAACGGAATCCNTTCTAATAACAAATAAATTATGTTTGAATTATTAACGCCAAAATCATCCCAAAATACTTTTTTGCCGTTTTCTCAAAATCGAAAAATTTGGACTTAAGGGTATTTGAAACCAAACAACTCACTTGATGCATGTGAGCTAATAATCATCTGTTAGGTCCCTTAATATTAGTACTGAAAAGAGTTAAAATCGATAACAATAACAAAAGTAATATTTACACAAATCAAGACATTCTTAATTTAATTTTTTTTGCATGAAAAGTGCGACAAAGTTCTTAGTATGATTCCCAGATCTTCTTTGGCAGCTCGAATTGAGGTGTTGGGACTGGGCTCGAAATAAGCCAAGGTATTCACCTCTTCCGTTGCATTATNTAAAGTTGCCAATTCCGTAAAAAATCGGGTACATTTTTCATTTAACTCGCGGTAAAAAGAAAACCGTGGATCCAAAAATTTTCAGATTAACATAAGTTACGTAGTAATGTTCAGTGATTACAACAAACTTTGTTGCAATTTTTTTTATGGAGCGGTTGCGAAGATATCAATCTCTAAAGTGAGGGGCCTTGACTTTTTGCACGGATAGTAGATACTGTTGACAGAAGACTAAATACTGCTAGTACTAGTCTTAATACTGCTGCGATAAGACTAGATATTTCTCATGGAGATACTGTTGGCGAGACTCTACTTACCGCCCGATAAAAAAATTGCAGTAAAGTTTGTTGTAATTACTGTGTGAGGGGGATTCCATCCAATCGGAAAAGATGATGCGTTCTAGACAGTACGTCGCGCCTTTATTTTACCTAGATAAAGAAATAAAGGCGCGACGTCCAGTCTCTGGAACACACACCGGGATGATCTTTTTCGATTAGATGGAACTCTCCCCGCATGGTTTATTTCTGTTCCTATTTAATTTATAATTCGCTTAAATCGCTCTAAAAAAATTAGAGAGATATAACTTTGAAAAAGTGATAACGGTATCTGACAAACGCAATTATTTGTGGGTATTTTGGTTAGATGAGACTAAATACTGCTAGTACAAGTCGTCATGCTGACTAGATATTCCTCATGGAGTTACTGTTGGCAAAACTCTACTTACTGCTAACAGAAAACTAGCTACTGCTGGCAGAAAATTAAATACTGTTGGCAGAGAACTAAATACTGCTGACAGAAGACTAAATACTGCAGCCAGAAGACTGCTAACGATAGGCAAGAATCGTAATTAATCACCTCAAAATTATTACATTACTATTACATGCCATATATGCAGAATTAGAATCAAATCATGAGTATAAAATAGAGGGAAGAAAATGAGATAAATAAAGAGGACAAGATTGATGAAGAAATAATAAAGCAAAAGTATTAAAAACAAAAAAAAATGCAACAAGTTATATATATTTGTAATAAATTTAGAAAGTAAGTTTTCTTTCTTTGTCTTACCATCCTTATCGAATTGTAATAAACCGAATATCGATTTCAGCTTTTGTTCAATTTTGTTAAAAAGATTAGTTTTCACTTTCATTCGATCACAACAATAACATTTTCAATTTGATTTCATTGAAAGTAGAAATCAATGAAATAAAATCGAAATAGAAATCTTTAATTTTCCGGTGACTCAAAAAATAAATAAGTAAAATAAAATAAACGATTGATTTATCCCTATTTTGGATTTAGTTGTTGCGTAAATACAACCTTGTTGAAATCACATTTCTAAATCACTTTCCTTTTTCTTTTCAAGGTGAAATATATACGTAGAGATTCAACATTTTATTTATAAGTTTCTATAATTTCAAGGTTCATTTCTTGTTTTTATTTCAGTTTCTTATTCAATTATAACTTTTACTGTCGCGATGTTTCTTGTAATCATACAGGAAAACGAAAATTTTCGCTTGGAGCGATCATTTACTATGTGAAATCGTACAAGAAAACACTTCCTGTTCTTTAACTTTTTGTTTCTTTATCAAAATTTATCTTTTGTTGGTTCTTTTTGAATTTTCTCACTTTCACTTTTCGAACTTTCCCCATCTAGGTTTATTTCGCCCCCTAAAAGCTCCACTTTAACGAGAATTTAATTTTAGACTCTCCTTGGGTTATTTATATGGTTTCTATTTGATGGTCGTAACCTAATTCTTCGCTCACACAAAGAAAATTAATTGATTAGTTTTGTACTTTAAAATGTCAATTTTAAGAGGTAAAGAAAATACATTGTAATAATGTTCAACCAACCAAGAACTTTGCGAAATATATCTTCGCGGTAATTCTCCTATTAAATGAAATTATGTTGTTAAACTTCATCAGGATGGTTGTCTTTTAGATTTTTTTGTGAGTAACTAAAATTAATCATTTATTTCAACATCCTGTTACGAAGTAATTACATTAAAACCTCTATATTACGGATCTTATTAGAACGGACTAGACCTAGAACTAGAAACATTCGGGTTTAGCCGAAGATGGCTAAACCCTGAATGATTCTAGTTCTAGGTGTTGTGTTAGTTCTAGTAATAGTGCTAGTGTAATACTAGAACTAACATTAGACCGAGAACTAGAAACATTTGGGTTTAGCCGTCTTGAGAGACGCACGGCTAAACCCAAATGTTTCTAATTCTAAGTCTAGTGTTAGTTCTAGTGACAGTGCTAGATAGCACTAGATATCACTATGTTACATATTTTTATTGAACTAAAACTTGAACTAAAACTAGAACTAACACTAGACCTAGAACTAGAAAGTTTCAGGTTTAGCCGTGCGTCTTCAGACGCACGGCTGGTCTAGTGTTAATTCTAGTTTTGCACTAGCACTGTCGCTAGAACTAACACAAGAGCTACAACTAGCAACATTGAGGTTTAGCTATCTTAAGAGATGCATAGCTAAACCCGAATGTTTCTAGTTCTAGGTCTAGTGTTAGTTCTAGTTTTGCACTAGCACTATCACTAGAACTAACGCAAGACCTAGAACTAGAATCATTTGGGTTTAGCCGTCTTGAGAGACGCCCGGCTAAACCCAAATGTTTCTAATTCTAAGTCTAGTGTTAGTTCTAGTGACAGTGCTAGATAGCACTAGATATCACTATGTTACATCTTTTTATTGAACTAAAACTAGAACTAACACTAGACCTAGAACTAGAAAGTTAACTAGAAGTTTTAGTCTGAAGACGCACGGCTAAACCCGAAACTTTCTAGTTCTAGGTCTAATGTTAATTCTAGTTTTGCACTAGCACTGTCGCTAGAACTAACACAAGTCCTACAACTAGCAACATTGAGGTTTAGCTGTCTTAAGAGATGCATAGCTAAACCCGAATGTTTCTAGTTCTAGTGTTAGTTCTAGTTTTGCACTAGCACTATCACTAGAACTAACGCAAGACCTAGAACTAGAATCATTTGGCTTTAGTCGTCTTGAAAGACGTACGGCTAAACCCGAATGTTTCTAGTTCTATTGTTAGTTCTAGTTTTGCACTAGCACTATCACTAGAACTAACGCAAGACCTAGAACTAGCAACATTGAGGTTCAGCAGTCTTAAGAGATGCATAGCTAAACCCGAATGTTTCTAGTTCTAGTGTTAGTTCTAGTTTTGCACTAGCACTATCACTAGAACTAATGCAAGACCTAGAACTAGAATCATTTGGCTTTAGCCGTCTTGAAAGACGTACGGCTAAACCCGAATGTTTCTAGTTCTAGGTCTAGTGTTAGTTCTAGTTTTAGCTTTATAACTAACACTAGACCAAAAACTAAAACAATACGGATTTAGCATTGGGTCTCTCAAGATGGCTAAACCCAAATGTTTCTAGTAGGTCTAGTGTTAGATCTAGTTTTAGAACTAACACTACACCTAGAATTAGAAACATTTGGGTTTAGCCGTCTTGAGAGAAGCAGCGTTAAACCCACAATGACGTCACGAACGGTCCTTCATGCCTTTGTGTGTATTAAAATTATTCATATTACAGAACTACAGACTACTTACAGACTTTTGGCTATAACGAACACTCCCTTCCCCGTATTAATCCGTTACATAGAGGTTTTATTGTATTATTGAAAACGTTTTGACCCGACTGATTACCTGGTATTTGCGGTTTTGTTCCAATAACGAAATTCGCGATCCAATTCCGTGGATTACTCTCCCATAACTGGATTAAACTTGGATATTAATTACTTTCTATCATTTTTGTTTCAGTAAAATTTAAAAATCGTCAAAAATGCCATCGTTACTCGAAGCTTTGGAACAAAAATACGGTGAAAGTTCGACGGAATCCGAAGGATCTGAAGAGGAAGGAATTTCAGTTTCGATTTTTGTACCTAGACGTAATCAACGAGTAACCGTTCCTTCATTATTGGTTCTAAATGATTGTGATATTACCACTGCCGGCGAACACAGTGCTTTAATTGATAAATGTGCCTCCGTTGAAGAACTTGATCTTGCCAAAAACAAATTAAATTATTGGCCGGAGGTAATAAGTTTTTTTTTTATTTGAGTTGAGATGTTACAAGGACGTTGAGTTAAAATTAAAACGATTCCTACTAGAACAGCACGTGCTGTTGTTATTACTATTATGCAAAGAGGCCTCTCAAGGTTATCAAAACAAACACGCGTTGTTTTTATTTTTAATATTGCGAACTTAATTTTTGCGTTTAATTTTTAGGTTTTTGGTATTCTCCAACAAATGCCGAGATTAAAATTTATTAATTTAAGTTTCAACCAACTTTCCCGACCGTTAAAGCAAGCTGAAGTGGACGTAAGAATCCGTTGGGAATTTTTAAGGAATCTCGTTTTAAATTCCACACAAATCGATTGGGAAAGCGTTCGGCACATCTTGGATTATTCCCCAACTTTGGAAGAACTACATTTAAGCCTAAACGACTACCAAGGTGTCGACTTATGCGAGGTCTGTTCTAAAAATCAAGAAATCCTCCAAGGAAGCGATTCAAATAACTGTAAATGTCCCTCGGAAATATGCAGAAACAAGCACAAACATTTAGGTATTAAAAAGCTACATTTTAACGGAAATCCGGTTTGCAAATGGTCGGAAATTAAAAAGTTGGGGTACGCCTTTCCGAATTTGGAATCGTTAGTTCTTGCCGATTGCCCGATTTTAACGTTGGACGAACAATCTCAAGAGAATCGGAAAAGAGAATATAACAGAACCGAAAGCGAATGTGAATCTAACGAAAACAATGATTCTCCGCACGATAGTTTTCGAAAATTAAGATTTCTAAATTTGAATTCAAGTCAGTTGTCTAATTGGGATGAAATTGAAAGACTTTCGAAGTTTCCTGCTTTACAATGTTTGAGAATTCAGGTATTTATATATTTTTTACTAATTTTATTATAAATATATACAGGGTGATTCAGTTTTTAAACGGGAAACTGTATCAAGACCATTGAGGTCTTATATATAATCTAGAGTGCCTATGCTGTTGTCCCCACCCAAGGTTTATATATTAAGGGTTGTCTAAGTTCCTATGCTGCAATACTTTGATTTTAGTTTGTGGGCGAGGGGAAAGAGCAGGAGTGTTTCGTGACGTAAGCGATCACGGATTGCGCACGCAACCTCATGGCCATGTGCTGCTCCATGCCTTTGTTTAATTTGAATTGCTTGGTGGTATTATTTTCCACATGTGACGTAATGCGCAGTATGGTTGCGTACGAACCTAGACAACCTCTTATATATAAACCTTGGTCCCCACCACGCTTAAAATGAAGCCAGAAAGGTCGCCATGTTAGATGTACCAACTTAGCGGGAAATTCGAAATTCTTATACAGCGTGTCCCGTATCTTCCGCATCAGAGCATTATACGGTTGTAGAATACATTATTCTGAAGCGATCTTTCTAATAAATTTTTTTCGAAATGTTTATGGTTATTATAAACATTTCGAAAAAAATGCACGGGAACTGTTTAACAACGACCAATAACGGACGACTTTAATTCACCGAAAAAGTTTATTTCTCTTTCCGTGACGAATCTATTGGTGAGTACACGTGGGAAACGAGTTATCATCGGCGTAGCGGACCGGCCGAAGGAGGCACCGACTACCTGAGGCTGATTTGCGATCTGCTGATTGGACGAAAAACAGTTCGTTTAAACAGTTCCCGTGCGGTTATTATAAACATTTCGAAAAAATTTTATTAGAAAGATCGCTTCAGAATAATGTATCGTACAATCGTATAATGCTCTGATGCGGAAGATACGGGACACGCTGTATATACTTATGGAAGAATTTACATTATTATAAACTGGAAAGACAGAAAATAATAACCAAAACATTAATTTTTTATTGATAAATAATAAATAATGATATTTTAAAAGAATTTAATAATTTTTAGCCATAACCCTTATAATTAACATAAACTAAGAAGAAAATATTTAAAGCAATTCCGATTGATCACGTTAACCTTTGCTTATAAATAATTGTTAGTTTATTTTAAAAAAACTGAACAGTCCTTAATAATAAACTTTACTTGAACTTCAATTGAAGACCTCGGTGCAAGAAGGGAGTAGCTCCATTTATCAAGAGAAGGAGTTGTCCCCTTCTTACACCGAGGTCTTTAATTGTTAATTCCAAGTCAAGTAACCAGAAACATTTTATGGACTGTTGTAAATAATCGTCCAACCTACCAAATTATAAAAAACATGTGTGAAACGAAAAGAATTCGAAAACTTTCAACAAAAATTAAATTTTAATAAAAATAACAATATGTTTATGAGAATTGTGAGGTTATAATTGTAGGTACAATAGAGACAAGGTTTATAGAACATAAGGTTACCTAATTCCCTATGCCTCTGTAGTATCGATTATTACCCCGCAAATTGACGTCACTGGTTCGATACAGTCAGAGTAAAAGATAGCCTATACCACCCTATACGTGCCTATACTGTGGTACAGTCTATACAAAATATTTAAATCTCGCATCGTCTTGTGTTGTTCATAGAACCAGCTACGTCACTGACCCACCTTGCCTCTCAGAGGAGGAGAATCGGTATTGGGTAACCTTATGTTCTATAGACCTTGCAATAGAGACTTGAAACTATAGCTAAGTTCAGGTCGGTACATCCAACATGTCTGACTTTCTGATTACCCCCACCACCACCACATACGCTCTCTAGATTATATATAAAACCTCAATGATCAGGACGTAGTACTTGCCAAAATAACACAAGTTTTTTATATAAACGAAAGATCGCAAATCGTTTGTTTTCCAGCTATGAGCTGTCAAAGTTGAGCCAAAAATTTACATTTTCAATTTAAAAATTTATATTTTCAAGCATACTTTAAACTTCCCCAGCGCCCTCTGAGGGGATGAAATTTACTACTCCCTTGATTTTCTTTATAAGAACATTTTAACGCTATGGAATATTAACATAAAAAAATATGGGTAGTATTTTCCTTAAAGTTAATAAACTGACCGGCAAAAAAAACCGGCCACTAAAATTTTACCACAATTTCAAAGCTACTCAGTCGATTTTGATGATTCCTTTTTTGATCGAAAGGTTTATTCTTCTGTAATTATCCTGCGATAGAAATTTTTATTCGGATATTAATTTGAGCATATACAGGGTGCAAGAATGAGAAAAGCATTTTTTATCGAAATTTGTAATACCCTGTGGGGTGCAGATGCTACAACAGAGGGTTTTAACTGGAATCAAACGGTAACCCAATCTTTTCTGAACATTTTGTTTTTTTATTCACTCTATTATCTCTGTTACTAACGAAGATGCAGTGTTTTAAAGCGAACGCCTGTGAAAACAAGACAAACAAGCATACAAAATCTAAGGTGGCTCGCTAGGTAGAGTATGTCAGTTGTTTCGAATAGTAAATTTCGAATAGTAAATTAAATTTGTTTTCTTGTTTATGTGTCCTTGTTTTTACCGCATATTAGAACTGAGAACAGATGTTTACAATAATGAAGGACGTACGCAATTCTGTAATTCTAAGAAAATGTAAGTGCTTCTGTAAAACTGTTTCGGGTGCTCAGTTTTAATTTTCAAGGTCAGTGATTTAAGGCGCCACTTTTAACAATGATTACAATTCTGTATAGGCTTCTTTGGAAATTCCCAGCCACACCATCACAGAACCACCATCGAAACTTTCGCGTTTCATAATTGTATAGTCCACAAATGTCTCATTTCAACGTCTTCATATTCGCTCCTGACTATTGGGTGATTGTAGACAAAACCACTACTCATCCGTAAAAAGGACCTCCATTGCACTACTCATTCCTCTATTGCTCCCAATTCATATGTAAGCGAGCAGATTGAAGACGCGCACGTCGATATCTAGGAAGCAGCCTCGGCCCTTTGGCAGCCTTCTTGCAGCCAGACCAGTTCTAGCAAGTTTTCAGCGAATGGTTCTCTCACTGACATCAACAACACGCACCATTTGAAGACGATGCTGAGCTTACGCAGCTGTCGTTCTACGATTGCTTAGAACAATAAAACGGTCATCAGCTACTATTGTCACTCATCTCGTTTTCATAGGCGATCGCTTTAAAATGCTGCATCTTCGTAATACCCTCTGCTGTAGCAGCTGCACCCCACAGGGTGTTACAAATTTCGAGAATAAAAGTTTTTCTCATTTTTCTCACCCTCAAATTAAAATCTGAACGAAAATTTCTATCGCAGGATTATTACAGAAGAATCAACCTTTCCATCAAAAAAAGAATCATCAAAATCGAATGCGCGGTTCGCGAGAAAGCCAGCTTTGAAGTTGTGGCAAATTTATAGTGGCCGGTTTTTTTTTGCCGGTCAGTTTAGTTTCAGTGTAAAAAAATAAAATATGCTAAATTGTACTGTAAAGCGCTGATATTATTAAAAGAAAATTTGTTTTTATAGCTGAGATGCGGTTTTCACTAATATTTAGCAAATTTTAAGGTCATTAAGCATTTGTGAAGTAAGTAGTACCATTCCATTTAACTTTTTTTCAAAAATCACAAAAATATGTAATCGCTGCAGACAACGCCCTCTACCTTATTTGTTTTAAACCAAACGGTCTTACTGAAAATATCTTTTAAAAGAGCATAAAATGCATATATGGAAACGGTCAGTTATCTCCTAAAGTAAGATAGGTAGCAAAAAATGTCAAGATCCAAAAGGTTTAGTGTTTTTTAAAATCTATTACAATAACGACAAATTAAGTATACAGGATCAGTCAAAAAGTTATGACGAAACAAAGTTTCGTTTTCTTTAATGGAACACCCTGTATGTTATTGCATATTTCGGTTCATCTCGAAATTCTAAACAAAAAGAATCGTGTTTAGGTTCAATCTAAAAATTAAAACAATCACAAGCACTTCTAATCTTGATAGAAAACAAAAAGATACGCCTTAAAAATAGTGATACTGATCTATACAGGGTGTATCTAAATTGCTGCGAAAGATTTTAAGGGGTGACTTTTCACCGAAAATTAAGGGGGTCTTTCATATAACTTTTTGGTAAAAACCTCTTCTCCTCCAAGTTATAGCCTTCTAAAGTTAAGGGAAAAAATCTGCAACCTTCTTATCTCTTGGACATTTTACAACTAACAAATTGTTAGTTTGATCACAAAAAATAAAATAATGCTGAGATCAATTTGACATAACTTCATTTTTTTGACTACTAATAACCAATCCCAGAATTAATTCACCTGAGCCTGCGTATTATTTTATTTTTTTGTGATCAAACTAACAATTTTAAGAGAAAATGACAAGAGACAAAAAAGTTGCGTATTGAATACCTCTATTTAAATCAAGCTTTTAAAGAGAAAAACATAGACACATTAAAAAGTTCTAATGCAAAGTGTTATAGGGGTTGATTTTTTTAACCCCTTGTAATAACATTTTCCGGTTATGAAAATCGTCAAAAAGTGTCATTTTATTAGCAACAGTTATGTGCTAAATTTTATTCTTCTAAATTCCTCCATAGTGGATTTATTAAAGAAAAACAATTTTTCCCCTAATTTTAGAGGGCTGTAACTTGGAAGAGAAGTGGTTTTGACCAAAAAGTTATATGTGTTAATTTTCGTTGAAAAACCACCCCTTAAAATCCTTCACATCACTTTAGATACACCCTGTATATAAATATAAAAGTTTAACAGAAAAGAAAAGATTCAACATGATAAATACCACAATAGGCTTTTTTAAATGAACTGACGTAATTCGAGTTTTGTAAAAGACCGAAACCGGTAGAATTGAAAACATTAACATCCATTTTAATAAAAAAAAAGTACAAAGGAAAAACCAAAAAAATTGTATAACTAGAAGCAGCATAGCCTATCCCCGCCCGTATACGAGATTGAAGCCAACGTTCGAGTGTTTGTTTTGGTTTTGGTCCCACTGACAGTGGCGTGTATAGTTTCGGCAAAATCAGACTTACACAGTGGCGTACGTGAAGAAATGTATATTATCATTATTTTTTTTTTATTAAGCAGGTTTTTAAAAATTTGATGTGCAGTTTATGCGCTATATTGATTGAAATGTTTATTAAGGAATGTAAACTTTGAGTTCTTTTGTAATTAATTATTGTAACCGTATAAATTGTGAACGGTTTATTTCTTACAAGTAAATTAAAGATGATATAATTAGAATTTTACAGTACTTTCATGGTAAATAATGCAGTAAAAATATTGTATTTGCAAATAACATTGATATTTTGTTTCAAAATTTTTATTACATAACAAAAAACTTAAAACTTAACTTATAAATATAAATTTTAAAATAACTCTCATTGATTTGAAAATACTATTTGTTTGTTTAACATATGTCAAAGCCTAGATTCTTGATTTATTAACTTGGTTTCATTAAATAACTTTACGTTAATAAATTTTGTTATTATTAACTTTATACATTGTATTTCATGTCCATCAATCATACGCATGATCTCCAAAAAGATCATAAATATTTTGAGGTAAACTTAATAAAATGGAATTAGTTAACTTTAAAAATATGTTCTTGTTATTGAATAATACATTTTGTCGTTAATAGTCTCTAATAATTTTTTCACTAATTAAGTAAAGTTTGACTACAAACTCAGAAGCTTTAGTCAAAACCCCATATGTCTTTTATACCTATAGCATTGAAATATCACTAGTTCCTTCTACCATCAGTTTTTAGAAAATAGTAGTTAGGTAGTTAAATGCATGTTCTCTAAGTTCGCAACGTCTATAATGTCCAGTGTTTCAATTTCAAAATATACCGTATATTTCGGACTATAAGACGCACCTCAAATTTAGAGACGATTTATTGAAAAAAAAAATATTTTAATGGTACCTTCGGACCATAAAACGTACCCAAAATTGAGTCCATTTTTCTATGTGAAGGGTGCGTTTTATAGTCTGAAAAATACGGTACTACTAAAATGTTAACTTCGCCAAAGCCAAAACAAATACGTACACAAACCTTGTTTACTTAGGAGAGAATTATTCATTTATTAGGGTTCGACAAACATGGATAAACATTAATCAGTTAAATTTATTTTCAAAGAAACCATAAAAAGATTGGCCTGTTCGGAAATACTCGGTGATCGTCGACCGGACGGTCCGATCTGAGCGCGTTCCGTTTTGGACTGAGTGAAAACGTAAACAAAACACATCGAACGCTGGCTTCAACTCTTGGTGTTTATATGTGCTTCTAGTAATACAAATTCTTTGGCAAAAACAGAATTTTATTATATTAGAAACATTTGGGTTTAGTCGTCTTGAGAGACACAGGGCTAAACCCAAATGCTTCTAGTTCTAGGTCTAGTGTTAGTTCTAAAACTAAAACTGGAACTAACACTAGACCTAGAACTAGAAACATTTGGGTTTAGTCGTCTTGAAAGACGCAGGGCTAAACCCAAATGTTTCTAGTTCTAGGTTTAGTATTAGTTATAAAGCTAAAACTAGAACTAACACTAGACCTAGAACGAGAAACTTTGTAGTTCTAAGTCTAGTGTTAGTTCTAGTTTTAATTGTAATTCTGCACCAGATTGTTCTATATTTTTATTGAACTAAAAGTATAATGAACTATAATCCTAGAACTAGAAACGTTGGGGTTTTAGTTCTTTAGTCTCCTGTCGTGTTGTATTGGTTGCAAGTATGCAACCAATATCACAGTGTAATACGCATCATACGCAAATCGCGTATTGCAATACCAATACTGTGATATTGGTTGCATACTTGAAATGATGACGTCGGGTACGATAATTAATTAACACACTGTATATATCGTCAGTAGACGATATACAGGTGTCCGGTATCCCTGTATACAGTGTGTTAAACAGGTAGAATAACATTATATCAACGTGAATTTGGTTATGATATTGTGGTGCTTTGACCGCACGCAGTTTTAGTCATTCATGTCTCAATGGGCTTTATAAGGTGATATTATCGATCTTTTCAATAATTAAATCGGGGTTGTTTGCGGCCGAGGCTGAGTAATTAGGATTATATCACTCTGATCCGATTATCATAGACATAATATTAATATGATAATTTTAGGGTTGTCCTTTATGGGATAGTCACGAATACACCGAACATGAACGCCGTCAACTCTTAATAGCACGTCTTCCCAACGTTGAAATGTTAAACGGTGGTGGGAATATCGAACACGATGAAAGAGAAGACGCCGAAAGAGCGTTTATAAGATATTACATGGATAAACCGGAAAGTGATCGCCCGGAAAGATATTCGGAACTGATTGGAATTCACGGCAAATTAGATCCTTTGGTGAACGTCGATTTAAGACCTGAAAAAAGGGTCCGCGTTACTTTTACGTGCGGAACTCATAGTGAGGTGAGGTCCGTTGATGTTTATAGAACCGTTTGCGATTTAAAAACGCGATTGGAACAATTCGCTGGATTTCCTGCTGCGAAAATGAGATTGTTTTATGTTGATCAAGATTTGAGGGATATTCAAGTAAGTTTTAAATAAAATAAATTAATTAAATTAATGAGTTATTTTTTTTTAATAGGGTCCTGAAGAAATGAAATTTCCGCATAAACAACTTTACAGTTATAATATTCGTTCAGGGGATGAGATCATTGTAGATTCTAAGAAAAAACTTGTAGAAAAATAAAAAAAAATGCTAATAATTAACTGCCAATTATTTTTTTGTTCGTTTTTAAGGCAGTAACTTAAATGTTATTAATTTTAATCAGTTATAATTATTTCCCAGTTGTTCAAATACTAACTTAAATTAACTTTAATTTATGTATATCCTAATTATTTTATTGTAATTGTGATATCCCCGACTGCTGCTGGCAAAGTATAAGGTTTTTATGGATGATGTTTAAGCGAAGGAAAAACTGCCATGTAGTTTTGTTAGAAATGTGATTTAGAAATTAAGAATTATCTAAATCGGAGTTTGAATGATAAAAAAAATAAATTTTTGGTGGAGGTTAATTATAATTTTTTTTCTAACTCTTTTATTTAATAAAACTCCGAATAATAACAAAATAAGAATAATAAATAACACGTTAGTGAGTAATAAATATATTTTATTTGAATCATTTACAAATAAATAATAATGACCAGTGACTATTTTTTTGTATACAATTTTTTTATCCCAATGCCTGTTTTTATCACATAGCAAAAACTACTTAAGTAAAAAAATATTTGCTTTACAAGTAATTCTAAATGTAATTAAGAGAAATGGTCGAAGTTTAATTTTTGGAATTGTTTACTACCGACTAAATTAATCTTTGTTATTTTCTTTCACACGACTATTTAAGATTGATTCAATTTAAAAGAGAACTCGTGTTACCTCAAAAAGTAACAAAGATGTTTCAAATACTAATTTATTTTTAATTTTTTCAATAAAAAGTATTTAACTCTTACAAGTTTGAAACACTCATCTACTTATTCTCGTTGTTACGTCTTTGACATTAATAAATTTTAAAATGTTTTCGAAACGAGAATAAATAGACTTTAATTATTATCCTAGCATAAATTGAAGTAAATCCATGCAAATATTTAAATTTTTTTGTAAACGTTTTCTAATTATCCTGAATATCTTGGCAGAAGTTGTATATTGTAATAATTTTATTTACTTTTTAACTCTCAATATAGAGAGTTTTAATTAATTTATTTAATTTTTGAAATTTGAAACCATTTTTTTGATATTTCTGTATTAATTTTGAAATAAAACGGTTATTTTTTGGTCAATAATAACACTGGTAACAACATAATCCATTTTATCAGAGTCAATTTTTATCACTTTATGCTTATTTTGTTGTTAGTTAGATAAATAATAATTAAGTGATATTAAGAGTTAATGAATTTTACAGGTAGAAAATAACCTACGTGGGTTTTGACATTTTTGGCTGAAAGTGACACAGTTTTGCACTCTAACCTTAACCCAGTTGATAATACTTCTTCAGCAGCGAATAAATCAATATCAGTGAGTGTATGTGTATACCCAAGACTGACAAAATTGAAAATATGAATTCCCAAAATGATCAGCAATAATTCAAATAAGAAGACACCAGTATGTACACCTGTAGATGGTCTCAGTCTTCAGCTGATGATTCCAAAGTCTTTAGTGATTAGTTGCAGCATCCAGAATAATTAAATCCAGTATTCAGTGCTTGATTCCAGTATCATCACTTAGATACTAGATAGTTCTAGAATACAATTGCGAACCCAATGTTCTCAGTGAATAAATCCAGTACCCAGTGGTTGTTTCCAGTATCTAATAGATAATTCTAGTATGCAATGATAGCTTTTAGTATCTTGCGGATGATTCCAACGTTTAATGGGTGATCCAGTAGCGTAACGTTAGTTTCCAACATCCAAAAATTCGGTACAGTGCACAAAATAATTAAATCCAGAGATTAGTGGTTGAATCTAGCATCCCTTTGATGGCCCCAGTTTTCAGTTGATGATTCCAATGTCTTTAGTGATTAGTTCCAGTATCCACAATAATTAAATCCAGTGTTCAGTGCTTGATTCCAGTATCATCAATTAGATACTAGATAATTCTAGAATAGGTACAAGTGAGAACCCAATGTTCTCAGTGAATAAATCCAGTACCCAGTGGTTGCTTCGACTATCTAATAGATAAATCTAGTATGTAATGATAGCTTCTAGTATCTTATGGATGATTCCAGTAGCGTAACGTTAGCTTCCAACATCCAAAAATTAAGTACAGTGTACAAAATAATTAAATCCAGAGATTAGTGATTGAATCCAGTATCCCTTTGATGGCCCCAGTTTTCAGTTGATGATTCCAATGTCTTTAGTGATTAGTTCCAGCATCCACAATAATTAAATCCAGTGCATAATTCCAGTATCATCAATTAGATACTAGATAATTCTAGAATAGGTACAAATGAGAAGCCAATGTTCTCAATGAATAAATCCAGTACCCAGTGGTTGCTTCCAGTATCTAATAGATAATTCTAGTATGTAATGATAGCTTCTAGTATCTTATGGATGATTCCAACGTTCAATGGATAATTCCAGTAGCGTAACGTTAGCTTCCAACATCCAAAAATTAGGTACAGTGTACTAAACAATTAAATCCAGAGATTAGTGGTTGAATCCAGTATCCCTTTGATGGCCCCAATTTTCAGTTGATAATTCCAATGTCTTTAGTGATTAGTTCCAGCATACAGAATAATTAAATCCAGTGTTCAGTGCTTGATTCCAGTATCATCAATTAGATACTAGATAATTCTAGAATAGGTACAATTGAGAACCCAATGTTCTCAGTGAATAAATCCAGTACCCAGTGGTTGTTTCCAGTATCTAATAGATAATTCTAGTATGCAATGATAGCTTTTAGTATCTTGCGGATGATTCCAACGTTCAATGGATGATCCCAGTAGCGTAACGTTAGCTTCCAACATCCAAAAATTAGGTACAGTGTACAAAATAATTAAATCCAGAGATTAGTGGTTGAATCCAGTATCCCTTTGATGGCCCCAGTTTTCAGTTGATGATTCCAATGTCTTTAGTGATTAGTTCCAGCATCCAGAATAATTAAATCCAGTGTTCAATGCTTGATTCCAGTATCATCAATTAGATACTAGATAATTCTAGAATAGGTACAATTGAGAACCCAATGTTCTCAGGGAATAAATCCAGTACCCAGTGGTTGCTTCAATTATCTAATAGATAAATCTAGTATGTAATGATAGCTTCTAGTATCTTACGGACGATTCCAACGTTTAATGGGTGATCCCAGTAGCGTAACGTTAGCTTCCAACATCCAAAAATTAGGTACAGTGTACAAAATAATTAAATCCAGAGACTAGTGGTTGAATCCAGTATCCCTTTGATGGCCCCAGTTTTCAGTTGATGATTCCAATGTCTTTAGTGATTAGTTCCAGCATCCACAATAATTAAATCCAGTGCATAATTCCAGTATCATCAATTAGATACTAGATAATTCTAGAATAGGTACAATTGAGAACCCAATGTTCTCAGTGAATAAATCCAGTACCCAGTGGTTGCTTCAACTATTTAATAGATAAATCTAGTATGTAATGATAGCATCTAGTATGTTATGGATGATTCCAACGTTCAATGGATAATTTCAGTAGCATAACGTTAGCTTCCAACATCCAAAAATTAGATACAGTATACAAAATAATTATATCCAGAGATTAGTGGTTGAATCCAGTATCCCTTTGATGGTCCCACTCTTCAATTGATGATTCCAATGTCTTTAGTGATTAGTTCCAGCATCCAGAATAATTAAATCCAGTGTTCAGTGCTTGATTCCAGTATCATCAATTAGATACTAGATAATTCTAGAATAAGTACAAATGAGAAGCCAATGTTCTCAAAGTGAATAAATCCAGTACCCAGTGGTTGTTTCAACTATCTAATAGATAAATCTAGTATGTAATGATAGCTTCTAGTATCTTATGGATGATTCCAAGGTTCAATGGATAATTCCAGTAGCATAACATTAGCTTCTAACATCCAAAAATTAGATACAGTATACAAAATAATTATATCCAGAGATTAGTGGTTGAATCCAGTATCCCTTTGATGACCCCAGTCTTCAGTTGATGATTCCAATGTCTTTATTGATTAGTTCCAGCATCCAGAAAAATTAAATCCAGTGTTCAGTGCTTGATTCCAGTATCATCAATTAGATACTAGATAATTCTAGAATAAGTACAATTGAAAACACAATGTTCTCAGTGAATAAATCCAGTACCCAGTGGTTGTTTCCAGTATCTAATAGATAATTCTAGTATGCAATGATAGCTTTTAGTATCTTGCGGATGATTCCAACGTTCAATGGATGATCCCAGTAGCGTAACGTTAGCTTCCAACATCCAAAAATTAGGTACAGTGTACAAAATAATTAAATCCAGAGACTAGTGGTTGAATCCAGTATCCCTTTGATGGCCCCAGTTTTCAGTTGATGATTCCAATGTCTTTAGTGATTAGTTCCAGCATCCAGGAATAATTAAATCCAGTGTTCAGTGCTTGATTCCAGTATCATCAATTAGATACTAGATAATTCTAGAATAGGTACAATTGAGAACCCAATGTTCTCAATGAATAAATCCAGTACCCAGTGGTTGCTTCCAGTATCTAATAGATAATTCTAGTACGCAATGATAGCTTTTAGTATCTTGCGGATGATTCCAACGTTCAATGTACGATCCCAGTAGCGTAACGTTAGCTTCCAACATCCAAAAATTAAGTACAATCTACAAAATAATTAAATCCAGAGATTAGTGGTTGAATCCAGTACCCCTTTGATGGCCCCAGTTTTCAGTTGATGATTCCAACGTCTTTAGTGATTAGTTCCAGCATCCACAATAATTAAATCCAGTGTTCAGTGCTTGATTCCAGTATCATCAATTAGATACTAGATAATTCTAGAATAAGTACAATTGAAAACCCAATGTTCTCAGTGAATAAATCCAGTACCCAGTGGTTGTTTCAACTATCTAATAGATAAATCTAGTATGTAATGATAGCTTCTAGTATCTTGCGGATGATTCCAACGTTCAATGGATGATCCCAGTAGCGTAACGTTAGCTTCCAACATCCAAAAATTAGGTACAGTATACAAAATAATTATATCCAGAGATTAGTGGTTGAATCCAGTATCCCTTTGATGGCCCCAATCTTCAGTTGATGATTCCAATGTCTTTAGTGATTAGTTTCAGCATCCAGAAAAATTAAATCCAGTGTTCAGTGCATGATTCCAGTATCATCAATTAGATAATGAATGGTTCTGGTGCCCATTTGAGAACCTAATATTTTAATGATTGCTTCCAATATCTTGCGATTTATTTTAGTGTTCAATGGATGATGCCAGAAGCCAAACATTAGCTTCTATCATTCACAAGATAGATAGAAATTTCATGTTTCACTTTCTGATACTTATTCATTTGATTAAAGCGGGTTTAGCCAGATGACGAGTATTAATAACTGGTATTTGCTATTATAATGGACAAATTGTTTGGGTATCTACAATTTAAGAAGTGATCAGGTTACTATGATTATATGGAATGAGTCACTTGCATCTCGCTGTTCTCAAGAAGTGGGGTCATATACTCTGATGAGTATGTTATCAAAGCTGCAAGAAAAGAAGATACCCTTTATTATTGTTAAAGTAAAAGATAATTTTAGTTTCAAGGTTAAATTTTAAAATTGACTAACTTGAAGATTCTCTGGGTTGGCATCATTTTCGTCTTTATTCTTTTATTCTTTAATAAATAAATTATAGTTAAATTAAAAACATTTATGTGACATTATGTTGTACATCAGTGTTATTATTTACCAATTAACTCTTTTCAATATTTTTTTAAATTAATATTAATAAACGCAAAGGAACATAATTCGTACAAAAAACTAATACAACGTAAAAGAAAAAAAAATTATCTAAAAATTGTTTTAAAGTTCCGTATGTTCAGATTCACTTCCCGCGGGTTTCGAAGCTTCAACCTCAATATTTTTTTCAGTTTGAGGTTCCTCTTCAACACTCTCAACAGTTTCCCCATCATCCACAACTTCATCTTTCTTTTCATCCCCATCATCCTTCTTCTCCTCCTTAACCGGTTTTTCAACTTTCTTCGGCTTCCACAATTTAATCTTATTCACCAAATACTTCACCTCCCGATCTAACGCGGCCATTTTTTCCGAAATCATTTTCACCGTTAACTTAACAGGTTCGTACTTTTTAATTTTACCCTGCTCATCAAGTTCTTTATCCCTCCATTCTTCGGTTTCAACGATAATCTTCTCCAACGTTTGTATTTCGACGTCTGTAAAAACATCTTTTTCCGGATTATTAGTTTTCGTAAGATTTCGAGCGGAATCTAAGAAATTTCTTGACCCGTTTAACATATTATTTAAAGCCGAGATTGCTTCGGGGCGTTCTTTATGTTCGAAGACGCGTATGTATAAATCGCGGGTTAATGATTTTAATTCGGATAATTTTTTTTCGTACGTTTCTGCATCGGCTTCTGATCCTTCGTCGTATAACCAATCGGATGCTTCGGAACAAGCTTTTAAAATTTTTTCTTTTTCCTCTTCGGTACACGCTTGGGAGTATTCGTCTTCGTAAAGTTTATTTTGGGTGTCTATAACGAAACTTTCTAGGTTGTTTAAAGCGGTCGCTCTTCGTGTTAATTCTTTTTCGATATCATTTAATTTTTTTAATTTAGCTTCGGAAGCTTCGATTTGGGCGTTTGTCATGTTTTTGATTGTTAAGGTTTTTTCGGTGGGTTTTAATGATTCTTTTAGTGTTATTATTTTAGGTTTTGATTCTTTTTCTTCTTTTAAAGTGTTATTTTTTGATGCTTCGGTTTCATTTTTAGGCGTTTCAGTGTTATTCTTTTTATCTTCTTGAGGCGGCTCTTCATGAACCGGCTTTTCTTCCTCAATCGGTCTCTTCTCCTCCTCCCCACTAAATAACTTACTAATTGTACTGCCCAATTTCGAAAACGTTCCTTCCTCCTCTTCGGGGTTAGTCGTTAAAGTTTTTTCAACAACATATTCCACAGAAAGGAGCTTTAAAAGACCTGAATCGTCCATGTTAAAATGCGCCTTAATTCCTTTTGATTCGACGTTTTCCCCGGAATTCTTTTTGATTGCTTCTGTTACCCCATTTACGTTAATCTCTAATAAATTAATATCCCCTAAATTTTTTATTTCATTTATTGGAAGGTAATCTAAATCTGCATAATTAACATTAAACGAAAAATCATTTGTGTGTTTATTAAAAGTAATAATTTTTTTTTGCGGATATGGGTTCATTGGGCCAAAAAGCGTCCGCTTAACCTGCTTAATTTCGCCCTCACTTTCGCGTTCAAAGACAACCTGAACTGGGAATAAAACCGCATCTTTAGTAATAAACTTTTTGACCTGGAACCCAGAGCTTAAATCGGCCGCTTTATAAACAGCCCCCATAGCTGCAGCTTCATCAGTATTCAAGTTTTTAGCCAAATCTTGCCCCACAAACTCTCGCAGAATCTCTTGCACCTTAGGAACTCGGGTCCCCGCCCCCACCAAAACAACTTGCGAGATAACATCCATCGAAAATCCCGCCGTTTTTAAAGCTTGCTCAACAGGGATTTTAACGCGATCGAAGAAATCAGGAAGAAGATTTTCAAGATCCTCCCGCGTAACTTGCACCCTAAAATCCTGCTCATCTAAAAGCCCCTCAACTTGCGCGTAATGATCGTTATTAGCGGACAAAACGTTCTTAACCCTCCCCGCTTCCTTAAAAAGTTTCGCCATCGATCTAGGATTTTTGAAAACATCATTTTTAGTCTTTTTCATCTCGTTAAATTTCTTCGCCAAATAATCTCGCAATCTAATTTGAATTTCTAACCCCCCAAGTGTTCGATCAAACCCAACCCCAATCACAGAAATTTGGGGATGAGTCTCAACATAACCTCTCTCTTTACTTTTAACATTTTGTAAACTAACGATTGTTGAGGTGGTGGAGAAGGCCCCCATATCATAAAACATGATGTATTGAGCCGTTTCATTGAAATCTTTAGCGCGGAAAATCCCATAATTTAAAGCGACAGCCATATAATCGTTAATTAACTGCAAAACCTTTAAATCAGCGAATTTGGCAGCTTGCAATAAAGCTTTTCGCTCGACTTGGTTAAAATAACCAGGAACGGTGATAACGCATTCTTTAATTTTTTGGTGAGCACTCTGCTCCGCGAATTCTTTCGCTTTAAAAAGGAGTTGAGCAATTAATTCTTCAGGGGTATAAAAAGTTTCTTCATCATGCTTAAATTTAATCGTACCTCTCTCCTCATCAGGAACAATTTCGTAATACGGAAACCTCTCTTGATATTTCTTAACAATCGGGTGATCAATACTCTTACCTAACAACTCTAACAAATATTGATAAGAATTCTTCGGAAATCGAATCCCCACGGTTTGGGCATCCTCCCCAAAAGTACGTACGTTATCTCTAAAACTAATCACCGTAGGCGTTTTTCTTTTTGATTCTTTATTTAAAGCAATCTCCATGGGGACACCTGGCGAGACAATCCCAATTTTCATCCATTCCGATCCAAAATCTATGCTCATCACCGCCAAACCAATCGCGTAATGAACACTTATCACGAATACTAGAAGACTAATCAATTTCATCTTCACCTAAAACAACGCAAACGTTAAAATTTTAAATTCAAAGGATCAAATACATACGAAATTTTTATAGGTTATGTTTAAATGTCTTGACGTAAACTCGCAAATAATGAATGAAAATCAATCGAAATTTGTCTCAATTACCTTTTGTTATAACGTCAAAGTGATAATGAAATGAATTCGTGCGTTGGACACTTCAAAACTTCATCGGATTACGTTGTCTTATGGCCGAGAACCACGTCAATCCATGTGTCTGAAAACAGCTGTAGATGGAATTTCGCCGGCTGAAGTTTTCAGGTGTGGCGAATTCTGATTGGTTGAAAGCGACGAAACGAACCTAAAAATTAAATGAATATGTCAAAGAATGTTTTAATAATTATATATGAGATGGCACCACAAAAACTTCTCGATATGAATCATTAACAATTTTTAAAATTAATCTTATTTTATTAAATAAAAATGATATAAATTTAATGTTTTTTGTTTGATATTAAACAAATCTAAGTATAATAACAAAAAATAATGTTTTAAATTTAATAAAATGTATTGTTAGTTTTAAATAAAAGATGGCGTAGGTAGAGTTAAAACATTATTTGAGTAAGTTTAACGCTATTTAATTCAAATTTTAGCACTTTAAAGTAAATGGGACACTATCAAATATATTTAATGATATAATTGGAAGAATTTTAAAGGATATTATTAAAATTTAAATCGAAATTTGGATGAAAACCAGTTAAAATGACGTTTTGCAAGAACATAACCTCAAAAAAACTAAATCATCATTTTAGTGTAATAATAATTTCGTGGTAAGTTCACATCGATTCAAATATACTATATGTCTAACGTATCCCCAAGAAAAATTTTGATTTTTTAATCAAAGTGTGTGATAATTTTGTGTTATTGGAAAATTGAAAATCTAACTTAAAATTTTTTCACAAAATGTCATATTATCTAAAGAAATCTTTATTGTGTTTTAATCTCTTTAGTTGTAGATGATCTTAATAATTTATAATAATATAGTTTCACAAAAATTTAATACAACCTTTAAATAAGAGATGGGACCTGTATTATTAATTTTTTTAGTTTCTATAATGTCTAAAAGATGGAACTAATAGTAATTTCAAAAAATTTTAAAAATTTTGCTTTAATTAATTCGTATTAATTCTTGTTGTAAATAAAAAAAATGGTCATAAATTTGCAATTAATTAATCGCTAAAGAAGAAGTGATATAAAAGTTTTCACATACTTTTTTTATTTACAACTTTAAGTTTTAATTAATTTTGTTAATTTGAAGGTGTTCTAAAGGTGTAAATTAAGGACACGTGAATAAAGGGCGAGTTAATCGAACGTTTACGATGCGCCCAGAGTTCGGAATTAGTCATGACAGATAATTGAATTCTTTCGAGCCGTCGTTGTTGACGCTTTATTTTTAGACGAACTCCGCTGCAGCAAAGCAACAACCGTGTGTTCCTCTCTCGGTTTACGCCTGGTGTGGTTTAAGTTTAACTTCCACTTAAAACGTCGTGGATTCGAGCGTCAACCGTTACCATATTACCCACTTTTTCACGCGCAATTAACTTTTAATTCTTTACCTTTCAACAACAATTCCTAATTCGCTTTAAAAAATAAATTAAAAAAAAGAAATTTGTGTGTCAAAATAAACTTGAACGAGAATAAAAAGTATTTAGTACGCGAACGCGAATTGTTTTGCAAGGTCTACAACATTGACCCAAATAATAATAATAAAGAAAATGTTGGAGAGGAAAATGCTTACGGCTCTTTCAATGTCAAGGCAGTAACAATAATGTAACATACACTGTGTTCGTGTGCATCGGTACAAGTGCGTAACGGTACTTTCTACCGTATGGAGAAATTTTAATGTTTATCTCACTCACTTAGCGGGTTATTCGTTCGTATCGAAATGGGTTAGTGTAACTTCACTTAAAAGAAAAACGTTTTTTATTTCAAAATTAATACATTTGCTGTTATATTTACATCACTAAACTTTTATTTTCTTCATGTGGTGCTTCTTAGACCATCTGAACTCGTAACATGAAAACAGAAGCTAAAGAGTTACTTTTTTTGGATGCTTTGGTCATAAGAAATACAGAACTAGAAGCATTTAAACCCAAATGTTTTTAGTTCTAAGTCTAGTGTTAGTTCTAAAACTTGCAGGGAGTTTTGCACAAAGCTAGACTATCCTTGTGGACTTGTCGCAGTCTTTGTGGAAAAAATTGGGGTCTTACCCCTGAAAGACTGTACTGGCTCTATGTGACTGTGGTTAGACCTATGATCACATACGGAGCAGCAGCCTGGTATAGGAAAGTCCGCCAGACTTCAGTTATCAGTAAACTTTCACGAATTCAACGAGTAGTTTGATTGGCAATCTCTGGTGCGATAGGCACAACGCCAACTCTAGCAATGGAGGTTCTGCTTGGCCTATCTCCTCTGCATTTGCATATAGAGAAAGTGGCTAGAACAACCATTTACAGATTTAAGCAATATGCTCAAAACTGTTCCGACATGTCCTACCAATGGGCTGCGGAAGACATTATAAGCACTTATACTGTGCTATCAATGCAGTCAGATTTGGCGGTATCACTATCAGTGTTTAATGCTCGATACCAGATTGTACTGCCTGAGCGGCAGTCCTGGATCGAAAATGAAAATTCTCTGGTTCGGGAAGACATTTGCTTGTACACAGATGGATCAAAAACGCCTGAAGGGGTAGGAGCAGGAGTATACTGCCAGACACCTCGAATTAAGCAAGCCTACAGCCTGGGTACGTACTGTACTGTATTCCAGGCGGAAGTATTTGCTATTGACATGGGTGCTAAAATCCTTCTTGAAAGAGGGGTGAAGAACATGACAGTACGAATTTTCTCAGACAGTCAAGCCGCTCTCCAGGCGCTGCAAGCCGTGAAAACGGTGTCGGCTCTGGTTAATGATTGTAAGAGAACATTAAACACACTGAGTTGTGATAACAGAGTCTCTCTGATCTGGGTCCCGGGTCACTCTGGGGTTGCTGGCAATGAAGCGGCAGATAAGCTAGCACGAGATGGCAGCGCTGAAGCGTTTGTGGGACCGGAACCAGCAGTTGGTGTATCATTTGCGATGGCCAAATATAGGATTGGACTGTGGGCTGAAGAGAGACTTCGCCTACTGTGGACCAGTTCTCCTGGAATGAGACATGCTAAGGTGTTTATTAACATCGCCACTGTCAAACCCGGGAATATTTTAGGACTTGCCCGTAGTAGCATAAAAGTTCTAATGGGTGTTTTTACTGGGCACTGCCGATTAAAAGCACACCTCAACTTGTTGGGTTTAGCCGACGATGTTGAATGCCGACTATGTGCGGAGGAAGCAGAGACGGTTGAGCATGTTTTATGCCACTGCCCTGCCGTTAACCGTATCAGATTCTCGATTTTTGGGTCGCAGTTTATCTCCTCAAAAGATCTGAATGACCTTTCGCCGAGCAAGGTATTAATGTTCGTTAAGAGCATTGGACTGCACGGTGAAATTTGATAACGATATCTATCGGGGTACAATAGATCCTTAGGGTCGCGGTGCAAGGTTGGTTGGTCTGCCTACCCGATATGTATTCTATGTAATGTAATGTAATGTAATGTAGTTCTAAAACTTTAACTAGAACTAACACTAGATCTAGAACTAGTAACATTTGGGTTTATCCATGCTTAGAGGCGCAGGGCTAAACCCGAATGATTTTTGTTCTAGATCTAGTGTTAGTTTTAAAACTAAAACTGGAACTAATATTAGACCTAGAACTAGTAACATTCGGATTTAGCCGTCTTTAGAGACACAGGGCTAAACTCGAAAGTTTCTAGTTCTGGATCTAGTGTTAGTTTTAAAACTAAAACTAGAACTAACACTAAACCTAGAACTAGTCACATTTGGGTTTAGCCGTCTTTAGAGACGCAGGGAACCCGAATGTTTCTAGTTCTAGATCTAGAGTTAGTTTTAAAACTAAAACTAGAACTAACACTAAACCTAGAACTAGTCACATTTGGGTTTAGCCGTCTTTAGAGACGCAGGGCTAAACCCGAATGTTTCTAGTTCTAGATCTAGTGTTAGTTTTAAAACTACAACTATAACTAACACTAGACTTAGAACTATAAACATTCGGATTTAGCCGTTTTAAGAGACTTACGGCAAATCCCGAATGTTTATAGTTCTAGATCTAGTGTTAATTCGAGTAATAATTCTATTATTAATTCTAGTTTTAGTTGTTATTGAGCGCCAACTTATACATATCTGATCTTATAATATATATGTGTTGATAATAAATATATATATTCTACACAATAAAATAAAATAGAAAGAGAAGATCTAAGAAATAAAAAGAATANAGTTTTAAAACTAAAACTAGAACTAACACTAAACCTAGAACTAGTCACATTTGGGTTTAGCCGTCTTTAGAGACGCATGGCTAAACCCGAATGTTTCTAGTTCTAAAAGTTAGTTTTAAAACTATAACTATAACTAACACTAGACCTAGAACTATAAACATTCGGATTTAGCCGTCTTAAGAGACTTACGGCAAATCCCGAATGTTTAGTTCTAGATCTAATGTTAATTCGAGTGATAATTCTATTATTAATTCTAGTTTTAGTTGTTATTGAGCGCCAAGTTATACGTATCTGATCTTATAATATAAATGTGTTAATAATAAATATAAATATTCTACACAATAAAATAAAATAGAAAGAGAAGATCTAAGAAATAAAAAGAATAGGCCTGCGGTGGCATTCCAATACAAAGAGCTAGAACCCCCGTTCGTAGCGAAAATAGGGTGGCTTTCAAAACTCTTGGGCCTTTATAAAGACCGTTCATTTCGAAGTTTTCGACGAAGACCGAACGAAAAAGAAATAAAGGAATGATTGTAAAAGAGGAGAGAACGTTGTCAAACGCTATTTGATTAAAAAACGAGCGAAAAGGCTTATTTAATAGTATGGCTTTACTACCAACAGGTTACTTATTTTTTTTTATATTAAACAGGGGACAGCTGTTGAAGTGATCTGATAGAGGATCACCTGTTTTAACTTTTAAACCACCAGCACACATTCAAGGTATTTGTGTAGTTGGAGTAAAAACTTTGATTTCGACATCTGCTCGATATAGTTAATTACATTTTAGTAATTTTATAAAGTAACCATTTTATTAAGAACCAACACAATTTCTGTTTGATTTCAAACCGGAAACAGATGTTCTTTATAACGTCTAGTTAAGAGAGTTACAATTTTCGTTTTCGTGAATAAC